AATTCGTTGCAACATTTTACCTTGGTGACGAGCGTGACGTCGTAGTCCCTGTTGTCGTAATTCCAGCCAAAGGCGCAGGGCACCGCAGCCCACGAGGAGTTGGCGGGCGGGAGCGGGTCCAGCTGGGGCGCGCCGCCCAGCAGCTCCGTGAAGTTCACGTCGTACACCTTGCACTTCTCGAACCCTGCCGCACGCATGCGCACACGGCGCTTGATTGTGGCCCTTGGCGGACGGAAGGTTAAACTCCGATTTAAACACACAGTGGATTAATAATGAAATGAACGAGTGAAGAAAAGTCTAATCTAACAAAAATAAATGATATATGAGAATACGTGATTAACAAAGGGCGTCGTTCTTCATTTCCGATTAATATACTTAGATTTAAACAGTGGTACGTCAAGGTCACGAGTTGGTCGTAAAGGGGGACACTGTCATCCAATCAGGAGTTTCGTTACGACACAGTTTTGGTATTGAATCTTGGATGATGATGTCCCCTATCCTTCGAGCTCGTGACCTTAAGTGCCAATGTTTAAATCTAAGTATATTATTAGTCGGAAATAAACGACGCACTTCGTTAATAATGCATTCTCATTTATTGATTTTTTTGTCGTTCATTCCACCATTCTTGCACTATGCGCACAGGCACCTGACCATTCATTTTCTCACTCTTTGTCACATACATTCCGTTACATTTTTTCGCAATACTTGGGATTTTATTTCTTGGTGCGCGTGGTAATGTCTTCAGGATGGAATCTTCCTCGATATTGTACGTCTTTTCCAGTCGCACCGCTAGATGTCACGTGATCGTGACCGTAACGACGACCAAGCAATATCTAGCGCCACGACAGAGAAAGATACGAAATATCGTCAGATATTCCATCATGTGAAGACAAGACCTCGTGCGCCCAGAAATAAAAACTCAAGTATATTCCTTCGTCTAACGATTAACTCCGCAACCAATAATTCGTTCACACATCTAGTCAACTATTGGTTCACGTACATATATTCTTACTTGTCTTATAAAGTTAATGAAAATGCAATAGCTGTTATCAGATTTATACACGAGAGAAGTCAAAACATATGTGTTTAATCAATGGGTCTTTGCTATATTTTTCTGTAGGAAACAATAGTGAAATACATTTGTGAGCATTTAAACTGTATGAGGCTAAGAAAACCAGACAGTGATGATGAGAGCAAAGATTAAAAAAGCCGTATGTTTGATTGATAATTTCGTTTATCCGAGCTCGTCAACTGCTCTGATATTAGTCCCATAAATGAAGTGCATGTCTCTATCTAGGGAGACAGCAATGTTTTTTCATGGTGGATGGTGACATCCGTCGCCGACCTACATATCGGCTTGCAAGGTATTCACAATCCATGTACCTCCACCAGCGAGGCACCACAAGCTCTAAGCTCCCTTCTGTTCACCCGACACGGGCGGTAGTTTAATACATGTTAATTTATGCATCCATGTGCAACCGTAATGTGCATGTGTACGTGAATGCTTACAAACATGTAAGTGTAACGCATATAATGTACCTACGTGTGTATATGTAAGTGTGACCCGTTTGATGGGGTACTGCTCCCGCATTCGCCCAGTTTTGATCGGAGGAACCACTGTAAACTAGCGATCAGAGCAACCGGCCACTAGAATTCTCCTCCAGACATGCACTGAACTCGACCCACCACTCTAGTTAATGTCGAAAATCCTGTCACCATCGAGAATCCAACCCTATGATCTCCCGGTTAGGGGCAATGCAGAGACATCAGTTGATGCTCAGAGCCCGCTTAGATGGGGAAGGCGAAGAGTGACAAAGGCGAACGTAATGGTGAAAGAGATGAGGGTGTCAATCTAATACTGACAATGAACGAGAATTGGTAGGAATGAGGGCAATACATAGAATAGGGCAAGGTGAGCAGGCATATGAACATCGAACTGCTCTAGTGAAAGAGTGTCATCTGCGGACTGTCTGTCACCGGTGAAGAAGCTGGCAATGATAGAGAATGAGGAGTGAGGGTAAACCATAAAGTAGAGTGAGACGGAAAATGCGACGGGCAGTCCTAGAGACTGAATGAGAGTGCTGGAGAGTCACCTGCGGGCTGACCGTCGAGGGCAAAGCTGACAGCGACGGAGAATGATTAGAAGTGAGGGCAATCCGTAGAGTAGAGCGAGCGTGAGAAGGAAAGAGCGACGGCCGGTCCTAGAAAGCGAGTGAGAGCGCTGGCGAGTCACCTGTGGGCCGTCCGTCGGGGGGCGAAGAGGATGACAGCGATGGAGAATGAGTAAGGAGGAGGGCAATCCATAGAGTAGAGCGAGTGAGAAGGAGGGCCGCCGTCCTAGAGAGCGAGTGAGAGTGCTGGACGAGTTCAACCTGCGGGCCGTCCGTCGGGGGCCGAAGAGGCTGACCAGCGATGGAGAATGAAGTAGGAGGAGGGCTAATCACTAGAGAGAGTGAGAAGCCGCTCCTAGAGCGAGTGAGAAAGCTGCTGGAGAGTCACCTGCGGCGCGCGTCCGTCGGGGGCGAGAGGCGACCAGCGATGGAGATAATGCTATGATGGAGGGCAAAAAAATCCCATAACGAAAGCAGTGACGAGTAAGGAACAGGGGCCTTTAGAGAGCGGAGTGAGAATGTGGACGAGTCACCTGCGGCGTCCGTCGGGGGCGAAGAGGCTGACAGCGATGGAAATGAGTAGAGTGAGGGCAATCCATAGAGTCAGTAGTGAGAAGGCCGGTCGCAAGAGAGGCGAGTGAGAGTGCTGAGGAGCACCTGCGGGCACGTCGGCGAAGCTGCGCGGGGAGGTCGAGTGAGCACCAGGTAGGCGGTGGACAGTAGATGCGAGAGTCCGCGGGTCCGTCGGGGAAGAGTACTGGAGAATGAGTGGAGAGAGGGCAATCCATAGAGTAGAGTGAGAAGGCCGCTCCTAAGAGCGAGTGCGAGTGCTGGCGAGTCACCTGCGGCCGTCCGTCGGGGGCGAAGGAGGCTGAACAGCGGATGGAGAATGAGTTACGAGTGAGGGCAATCCTAGGAAGTAAGAGTGAGAAGGTCCGGTCCTAAGAGAGCGAGTGAGAGTGCTGGAGAGGTCACCTGCGGGCGTCCGTCGGGGCGAAAGAGGCTGAACCAGCGATGGAGAATGAAGTAGAGGAGGGCCAATCCATAGAGTAGAGTGAGAAGGCCGCTCTAGTAGAGGCGAGTGAGAGCGTGGAGAGTCACTGGCGGGCGTCCCGTCGGGGGGCGTAAAGAGGCTGACAGGAGGAGAATGAGTAGGAGGAGGGCAATCCATAGAGCAGAGTGAGAAGGCCGCTCCAGAGAGGGCGAGTGAGAATGCTGGCGAGTACACTGGCGGCCGTCCAGTCGGGGGCGAAGAGGCTGACAGCGATGGAGAATGAGTATTGAGTGAGGGCAATCCATAGAGCAGAGTGAGAAGGCGGTCGCTAGAGAGCCGAGGTGAGAGTGCTGGCGAGTCACCTGCGGGCCGTCCGTCGGGGGCGAAGAGGTGACAGCGTGGCGAATGAGTAGGAGGAGGGCAATCATAGAGTAGAGTGAGCAGCCGTCGCTAGAGAGCGAGTGAGAATGCTGGCGAGTCCAGCCGTCGGCCGTCCGTCGGGGGCGAAGAGGTGACAGCGATGGAAAATGAGTATGGAGTGAGGGCAATCCATAAGAGCAGAGTGAGAAGGCCGTCCTAGAGAGCGAGTGGAGTGCGGCGAGTCACCTGCGGGCCGGTCCGTCGGGTGGCGAAGAAGCTGAGCAGCGATGGAGAATGAGTAGGAGGAAGGGCAATCCATAGGGAGTAGGGGTGAGAAGGCGTCGTCCTAGAGAGCGACGTGAAAATGCTGGCGAGTCAACCTGCGGCCGTCGCGTCGGGGGGCGAAAGAGGCTGGAGCAGCGAATGGAGAATGAGTAATCAGAGTGAAGGGCAATACATAGAGCAGAGATGAGAAGGGCCGGTCCTAGAGAGCGAGTGAGAGTGCTGGGCGAGTCACGCTGCGGGCCGTCGCCGGCGGGGGCGAAGAGGCTGACAGCGATGGAGAATGAGTAGGAGGAGGCAATCCATAAGAGGTAGAGTGAGAAGGCCGACGTCTAGAGAGCGAGTGAGAATGCTGGCGAGTCACCTGCGGTCCGTCCCGTCGGGGGCGGAGAGGCTGACCGGATGGAGATGCGTATGAGTTGAGGGCAATCCATAGAGTAGAGTGAGAACGGCCGGTCCTAGAGAGCGAGTGAGAGTGCTGGAGAGTCCACCTGGGGCCGTCCGTGGGGGCGAAGAGGCTGACAGCGATGGAGAATGAGTAGGAGGAGGGAATC